CACTGCATAAGTCACTACGTCTCAGGAATGCCGTTCATATTGTAGACAGCATAGATTTCTACCGTCGTGATGATAGTTCATTGACAGAAGTAAAGGACGGGGGTGAGGAGGGGGCACCGTGTTCTGATTTGCATGACAAGCTTTTCTGAGCGTAGCAGCCCTGCGAACGGGTGGAGATCTGAGGGCTGTCCGGGCTTGCTCGTGGCCTCACCTGTAAACAGCTTGGGCAAACGGCTGTACCCAATTGGTAAAGCTTACTGGGTGGTTTTATGAGTTCTGGGTTTTTGCTTTACAGGGTTAGTGTAAGAGGAGGCTTCAAGGCAAGTGAACCCTCCTGGGTGAGAAACAGAGCTGGGAGACAGGGAATGTGAGGGAAGTCAGGCAGGAAACGAGAGTGGGTGCAGGTGCGGAGAAAATCATGAACGTTGAAAGAGGCTGCATCACAGAGTCGGGTGTCCAGAGGAAGGGTCCAGAGGCTCAGAGTACAACACTGGGAGTATACCCAGTGGTGGAGGAGGAAGTGTGAGCAAAACTACAAATTTTCTAGGGGGTTCTATGTTATCAGTACCATGGTCCAGGCAGATGTTTGCCCTGGGAGCATCTGAGCTTAGATCTGAGCCTCCTCAGGGGAAGCAAGCTTACTGGTTAAAAGCACAGACTGGGCCGCCAGCCTGCTTAGATTCCAGTCCTGGCTCTGCCACTTCCTTGATGTGCAACCTTGAGCATATTGCTTGGCCTCTCTGTGCCTCCATTTCCACATCTGTAAAATATGGAGCAGCACAGTCCTACCTGATGGGGCACAAGGACTGAGTGAGTGGATCCATGTGAAGCATTGCTAACAGAGCCTAATGTTGGGTAAGCTCTGTGCAAACCAAGTTTTCCACCCAACCAGGGCTCGTTTTAGAAATGTGCATGAATTTTTCATTGTAAAACCTCCAGCAGCACCTGAGGAAGTGAGGTTTTCCCCACGCTCGCCCCCACAGGTAACTGCTACTAATTTGGAGTAACCTTCTAGCACTTTCCGTACACTTACCTCCCACCCTCATCGTCTGGGGAGGAGGCTGAGCAGTGATTTGGGCCTGATGTGAGCTTAGAACAGTGGTTCTCAACCGGGATTCTGCCCCCCAGGCCATATTGGGCAATGTTGGAGACGGTGGTGTCACAGCTGGTACAGTGGGCTGCTACTGGCGTCTAGTGGGTAGAGTCTAGGGGTGCTTGTAAACATCCTGTGGTGCACAGAATGGCCTTCTCACCCCAGAGAATAATCCAGCCCAGATGTCAGTAGTGCCGAGGCTGGGGTACCTGAACTGGAGTCCAAGGCACCTGGAGGATGGAGATTCCCATCCCAAATGGAATGGAGTCCATGGAAGGTGTGACCAAAAAACTAAACTCATTGCTGTTGAGTCGATTCCTACTCATAGTGACCCTTTAGGACAGAGTAGAACTGCCCCGTAAGGTTTCCAAGGCTATAACCTTTACAGAAGCAGACTGCCACATCTTTGTCCCACAGAACGGCTGGTGGGTTTGAACCACGGACCTTTCCATTAACAGCTGAGTGCTTAACCACTGTATCAGTAGGGCCCTTTGGAAGGTGTGACCAGGGCCTCTGAATCCTGGCGCAGAGCCTGCCTCAGTGCCCACTGGGGTGGATGCCGTCTCTGCCCCATCCACATGCCCTCACCTCTCAGGCCCCATAAGCACTGCAGGCTTCCTACTGCTATCCCAGCCCCTCTCTGCCCAAGGGCTTCTGGGACTGCTGGGGCAGACACCACCACCACCCCCAGCAGCACCACCCAAGGGCTGATGGGAGTCAGTACACCAGCACCCCAGATCCCTCTCTGTCAGGTGTGATGATCTGTGATGTGGGTTCTATGCTACTGTCTCCCAGAGCTTCCTGGAGGGACTGAGCCCCAGGTCCCCACAGGGGAGAACCTGCTCACTAATGCACCCCTTGCTGCCTGCCTCCCTTTCCTGGGTGGTGCCTCCAGCAATCACCTCCCTAATAAGCAGCTTGCACCTGAGCCGAGGTTTGGGGCTTCCCTCGCACACAGAGGCTTGGGGA